ACTTTTTTTGTGTCTTTGCCTTCCTGTCCTGGTGACACAGGGACAGGAAGTGAGGGAAATTCTTCCCAGAGAGGTCGCAGATAGAATGGAAAACCTGGCAGAAATTTTACCTCCCCAATCCATCCAAAAATGAAAAAAAAAAACATTGTTTGGAATTAGGCTTCAAAGATTCTCCTGCTGTTTTGTGTCCTCTTGTCATTGGAAGAAGTTACAGCGGAGTCCATCGCTACACTCTCAGCTGACCCCGCCTCTCTCTGTACACTTCCCTTTAGCTGACTCCGCCTCTCTCTGTACACTTCTCCTTAGCTGACTCCGCCTCTTTGTACACTTTCTTTTTAGTTGACACCGCCTCTCTCTGTACACTTCCCTTTAGTTGACTCCGCCTATTTCTGTACACTTTCTTTTTAGCTGACTCCACCTCTCTCTGTACACCTCCCTTTAGCTGACTCCGCCTATCTGTACACTTTCTTTTTAGCTGACTCCACCTCTCTCTGTACACCTCCCTTTAGCTGACTCCGCCTATCTGTACACTTTCTTTTTAGCTGACTCCACCTCTCTCTGTACACCTCCCTTTAGCTGACTCCGCCTATCTGTACACTTTCTTTTCAGCTGACTCTGCCTCTCTCTGTCTTCTTGCTCTCTTTCTCTCCTCTGCACTGTAGCACCATGTGTCCTCCATCTTGGAAGCCGACCTGGTATTAGTTTTCTCCGAGGGCATTTTGATAGAAAGTGACACGGCGAAAAACCTCCTGGCCAATCCCGATGGTCTCTTTACCTGTCTGGTGAAGACACACAAGTAGTCACTCCGCTCCACGCTGCTGTCTGGTTGGTACAATGCTGGCACTACGCTCCATTTCATGGTCATGTGTCCTTAACACCCTATTCTATCCCTCTAGCATGCATGTTGTGTATTAGTACCCTAGAGCATGCAACACACCACCCACAAAACAGCTCAGATACCCAGCATGCTTTGCTGCTGTCATGTTTTACACAGGTTTTCAGAAATGAGTGGTCCTGCATGCCTGCGTGCTTTGTGAAGTAAGACATTTTACACATGCAATTTACTCAATATACTCATAAGATGAGGCCCTGAGACCACAGGGTCAGCCAAGACCGGAGTACAATATACACACTTCCGGGGGCACTTTTTTCTTCAATTCTTTATTGTGTCTGGGAATAACTGGACAATTATGGTGAATTCCCCAACAGGACTGACGGGTTAGGGGTGCAGTTCCTGCCATGGAGAGGTCTTATCACGCTGCTCAAGTAATAGGAAGCTCTTCTTCCTTTGTAGTCTAGAACTGACCAATGGTTGCTCTGTATATACTTCCGCAAATGGAACAGACTTATGATTGGTCTGTGTATGATAAATCAGAGAAACCAATTGTAAATAGTCTGACAGATCGGAGAAACCAAAGGCTGCTCTTTATATAGTTTGGTACATAGTTGACCTGTATATAGTTGGTAGATAGAAAGAGAGTTGGTTGGTCTATATATACTATGGTAGATGGAACAGACCAATGGTTGGTCTGTGTTTTAGTTTGATATATTGGACAAGACTGTTGGTAGGTCTGTGCATAGTTTTATTACTCTGACTATAGTTTGGTAGAGGGAACAGACTGATGGTCTATGTATAGTTTGGTAGATGAGTGAGACCAATAGTTTGTCTTTATATAGTTTGGTAGATGACTGCTCTGTATGTAGTTTGGTGGATCATCAGACAGATCTATGGATAGTCTGTGTGTAGTTTGGTAGATGGAACAGACTGATGATTGGTCTGTATATAGATTGGTTGATCAGACATACCTGAAGACAGGAAGTTCTCCAATGTATCTATACATCGAACAAGCCACTATGTGGGATCACCATGGATATAAAATGGAGTCATCTCAATGCTGCCTCACTTATCTATCATTTTCGGTTCACATTTTCCTCTCCTTGCCTTTATGGTAGCTTTCACCCAGCAAGGCATGCTGGGACTTGGTGGTTTCCTAACAATATAATGTCTATAACTAGGAGCACTACAGGGCCTACGTATAGAGCAGGATGGAAAACCGCAGTACCTGTAACATTCGCTGTATTTATAATATGCCCATTGTCGCATTCGCTGTTACTGATCACTACTACACATATGCCATTTTCATCCGGTGAATCACTTACTATTATAACTATTGTGTCTAAAATCTATTTTATCAAGCGATGACCTCTGTCTGTCCACAGCAATCACCTTTGTTGGGAGCAATATTATATTTTACGTTTTTTTTTTAGTACTTTCTGTTTTAGAGAATTATGTTTTTTGTACAACATTCGGGTTTATTCCAAGAGGCAAAGTGCAGAACCCAACCATTGGTCTGTCATTGGTCTGGCTTCAGGACAACAAAACCTAATTGCTGTGGGTTACATCTGGTCCTCATTTCTCTACATAGGGATAACCCAATAAAATCTTATTATCTGACTACTAGGGATGAGCGAAAGTGAGATTTTTTTTGCTTATCTAAAATTTGGTCGAAGAAAAAGAGATTTCGACATTTTGGTAGAATCAATAGGGGAAGGTGGTTCTGGTGATTTTGGTTAGGGTAAAATGGGCTTTAAATGACTCCTGGTTGTTACTGAAGCTCCTTACAACTATCCTGGATCTGATCTTGTGCTAAAAAATGGCTCCTCATTAGCCTCATTATTATATACAGGGCCGTCCCTATATTGAGGCAGCCTGATGCTGTTGCCTTAAGTAGCATCTCTATGGGTCACATGGGTCCTTTCCAGCCAGAGCGTCCTGGGTTGCTAAGCTCTTAGCAGCCCGGACGCTCTGGCTGGTTCCCTACCCAGCTTCTGGCAACCAGTGACATCAGTGACTTGGGCCCGAGCCAGATGTAATGTGCACCACCAGCACCTCCATAATACGC